AGCCGCTTTGCCGTTTGGGTCTTGAGGCAGGCCTGTGCAGCTGTGCTGTGTGGTTGTGTTGTGGTTCGCTGGTGTGTGGAGAGGGGCGTTCGAATGCATGGAAAGGAGAGGCTGTGTTTGTAGCACTGGAGTGAGGCATATGCTATGGAGGAGAGGTGGCCGGCGTTTTGGAGGAGAGGTGGCCGGCCTGTGGTGCCTTGCGGGTGTGAGCGTTGCCAGTTGAATCGCAGTTGCAGTGCGTGTTAGTGCTGCAGCAAGCATGGCCGGGCTGTTGAGAAGGGTTCGGAAGTTGTGACAATCAGGATACGTGCTGGAGCTGGTGTTGGTGGACAGTGATTTGCTGGTTCGGCTGGACGAGAGGGCGGAGGCATGCATGTTCAGCGGCGAGTGGGAGTTGGAGGGTGGTTTGTTTGCCGTAGGTGCCTTGTTGATTTGCAGCTATGTAGGTGCGTGGAAGGGCGTTAGGCGCTTTGGGTCTTAGCTGGTGAGTGGCTCGGATTGAGCGAGAGAAGTGGAATGACTTTGCTTTCCAGCCGCTTTGCCGTAGGAATTGCGAGGCCGGCATTCGGAGCTGCACAATGTGGTTGTGTCGTGGTTCATTGGTGTGTGGAAGGGCGTGTTTGGATGCGTGCGAATGAGAAGCTGTGTTTGTAGCGCAGGTGTGGACCATAGGTTTTGGAGGAGAGGTGGCCGGTCTGTGCTCCCTTGCGAGTGTCAGCCCTGTCAGTTGGAACGCAGTTGCAGTGCGTGTTTGTGCTGCAGGAAGCAGGGGCGGGCTTTTGAGAAGGGTTCGGAATTTGTGACTCAGGATACGTGCCGGATGGTGTTGGTGGGCAGTGATTTGGTGGTTCGGCTGGACGGAAGGGCTTGGGTATGCATGTTCAGCGGCGAGTGGGAGTCGGAGGGTGGTTTGTTTGCCGTTGTTGACTTGTTGGTTTGCGGCTGTGTAGGTGCGTAGAAGGTGCTAGGCGTTTTGGTTCTAGCTGGTGAGTGGCGCGCATTGGGCGAGGGAAGTGGAGTGGCTTCGCTTTCAAGCCGCTTTGCCGTTTGGGTCTTGAGGCAGGCCTGTGCAGCTGTGCTGTGTGGTTGTGTT